ATCCTATTTATAATGCATATCTACCACTTTACAATCCTATTTCTAATGCATATCTACCACTGTAAAGTTCCAGTATAGGGTAATAACACTGTTTTTTTGCTATGAAATCCTATTTATAATGCATATCTACCACTTTACAATCCTATTTCTAATGCATATCTACCACTGTAAAGTTCCAGTATAGGGTAATAACACTGTTTTTTTGCTATGAAATCCTATTTATAATGCATATCTACCACTTTACAATCCTATTTCTAATGCATATCTACCACTGTAAAGTTCCAGTATAGGGTAATAACACTGTTTTTTTGCTATGAAATCCTATTTATAATGCATATCTACCACTTTACAATCCTATTTCTAATGCATATCTACCACTGTAAAGTTCCAGTATAGGGTAATAACACTGTTTTTTTGCTATGAAATCCTATTTATAATGCATATCTACCACTTTACAATCCTATTTCTAATGCATATCTACCACTGTAAAGTTCCAGTATAGGGTAATAACACTGTTTTTTTGCTATGAAATCCTATTTATAATGCATATCTACCACTTTACAATCCTATTTCTAATGCATATCTACCACTGTGAAGTTCCAGTATAGGGTAATAACACTGCTTTTTTGCTATAAAATCGTATTTGTAATGCACGTCTACCACTGTTAAGTTCCAGTCTAGGGTAATAACACTGCTTGTTTGCTATGAAATCCTATTTCTAATGCACGTCTACTAGTGTTATTACCACATACTGGAACTCTACAGTGGTAGACATGCATTACAAATAGGATTTCAGAGGAAACAAGCAGTATTAATACCCTATACTGGAACTTTACAGTGCTAGACGTGCATCAGAAATAGGATTTCAGAGGAAACAAGCAGTGTTATTACCCTATACTGGAACTTTACAGCCATTAATCAGAAATTTCAGTAAACTAGCGACTAAAATAATGATAGTAAATGTCTGAAATTTCAGTATAGGTTTGGTTTGTAAATGTCTTACCTTTGAATCGTTTTCTTGTTGAAATTATTCTCTGAAATTTTGTCTTGGTTTTGTAGGTGAGGTCAGTGTGTGGTGTTTGTTTTTGAAAGTATATCAAGCTTGGTTGTGGTTATGGAGTTTCGGTTTCGAGAGATGAAGAAGACGCTTTGATGAAGACGATGACTGAAGGGACGTTTGGCAAAGATGGTTAATTGAAGTTGCTGGAAGTTACGGTTTTGTTTTCCATTTTTTTGGATAAAAGTTACGGTTTTCTAGATGGTTAAAATGTTTGGGCTTGTTTATAAATTTGGGTTGGGTTGATTTTGGGTGTCTTTTGAGTTTTTTTCTGTTGGGCTTATAAGTGGCAGCCTTGTAATATATAGTAACTTCAATACCAATTTGTTATTTAATAAATGGGTTTTGGTTGTGTTTATAAAGTGTTTTCCATATGGGGTTTTTTTTATAATTTCAACACCCATTTTGGGTATATTAGTGAAGCTCCCTAGATTTTATCCGTTGCCAATGCAAAATTTTAGCATAATGAACTCTCACAACCGGGTGGAAGCACACAAACATTTGACTTGGCATAGCAAACTAATTTTAAATTACATTTAAAAAAATGTAATTTTAATATATTGAATTGTGATAGATTGTATTAGGGTGTACTAGGGGTATTTTTGGTAGTTAAATAAGGTGTACTTAGTTAATTTTATAATTTAATTTAAATATTAAGGTGTACTTAGATCATAGGGTGTACTCAGTTAATTTTAGGGTTCGTTTAGCAGCACTCATAATTAATCACATAATAACCATGTAGGACATTGTATATATGAATTTAGTTTAATGAAATTAAATGTTCTGTAGTAACACAAAATTACATCTCTACTATAAAAATTAGGGGTGTGCATCGATTCCAATCCAACCTATTTTGAAGGATCTGTATTCAATTCAATTAGAATTGATAACCTAATTCGATCCAATTAAGTATGTAATTCCAATTCAATTCGATTCAATTATAACTAGACCGAATCGGTTCAATCCAACATATAACATGAATTAAATAAAAATACACCAGAAAATTAGCTATCAACCAAATCTGAAATTCAATCAAATTTGAATTGAATTTTGCACATGCCTAAAAAAATGAAATGCGTAATTCCTTTCTATCATTAATTGACGAGGGTATTCTAGTAAAACTCACACACCTGCCAGGTACCAATGCAATGATAAACAAACCAAAGTTTCTGGAAGCAAAACACACTTCTTCCCCCGCAGCTTACTGCCTCCAAGTAACCAAACCACACCAACCAACGGCCAACGCCATAGTCCATGACCCAACCCGCGAACCCGATGCCGACCGGACCCAAAAGAAGCCCGCCGGCGCCACAGCAATGAGACTGATAGTGCCACTCCAAGGCGTCGTCCAAGGCAGAGGTGGCCGCAAGGAGAGTCGTCTTTTTTTTATATATATAAATCGTATAGCCGTGCGGCTATACTCAGTTTTTTCTGTAAATAGTATAGCCGGGCGGCTATACCTATTTTGACACGAAATGCCTAATCGCAAGGAGGGTCATTTTTTATATATATATTGTGGGAACCGAATTAAATCACCCTAAGTCAAATAATTCCTTCCATTTGGGGATTATTTGACCTAATTGGGAGTTACTCAATTTAATTGGGAGTTACCCAATTAAATTGGCAATTACCTAATTAAAATGGGAATTGATTTGATTCCTACCCTAATTAGGGATTTGATTTAAATCAAATAAATCAAATCCCTAATTAATCAAATCTCACCTAATCGGGGAGGAATAATTCCTTTCCA